CATTCAGTGTTTCCCTTCCTGTTTGAGTATACTGTCCGTTAGGCAGCTTAATTGTGCTGACCTTGTTGGTTGCCTGTTTTGCCATGATTCTCCTGAGTCTGGCACCACCTGGTACATCATTGATCTCCTGGTAGTGTCTCCTCCATGAGGATTGCTTGGCTTTCCTTATTTCTTTGTTGTAACAGGTAAAGGCTTCCTTGTAGGTGTCCCCCTGTCCTGTTCTTTTAGTTGTATTGAACAGCCTTCTTGTTTTGGTTCTAAGCCCATTCAGCTGTTTATTCCACCAAGGCATTCTCCTTGGTCCGCGAGTGGTCTTAGCCGGACAATTCTGTTTAAAGGACAAGATAATAGCCCGTTGGAACTGGTCAATGGACCGATCAACATCCTTTCTTGTGCATATATTACGCGAGATGGTCTCTAGATTTACCTTTAGGTCGTCTTTGTAAGACTCCCAATTGGTTCTCTTAGGATTCTTATGAATAAGTAGCTTGATCTACTGTAATGTTTCTTATTTTAAAGCATATATATCTGATCCGATAGGGACTGCTCATCAGATACATGCCAGCTACTTACCAGGTTTCCTATGTCGTTTGTCCCTAGTGTCAAATCGATAACCTCCTTCCTATTGCAAACCACAAAGGTAGGTTTGTTACCATGGTTTAGAATATTCAGGTTCTTACTCACCAGAAATTCCATAAGGCTCTCTCCCCTTGGTTTAGTGCCGGTGCTCCCCCACAAGATGTGCACGTTGGCATCACACCCAGTGATGAGTTGCTTTTTCCTGCTACAGCAGTAGTCTATGATGTCCCTCACTGCTTTAGTTGGTGGTGGTTCATCCGAGTTGTATGGAAGGTAGACTGAAGCAACAACCAGCTCCTTGCTACTTTCTCGATACGGGTATGTTATCCTTACCGCTGTTGTATGCCTAGAACAGAGTTCCAGCAAAGGCAAGGCATTAACATGATTCCTGATATAAACACAACATCTTGCATTATTACTGGGTACAACAGAGTAAACTGTTCCCCCTGTATTAGTTAAGCACCTTATTTGACCCTTGTATACCCAAGGTTCCTGAATAAGTGCTATATTTGCCTTACCCTCAGCTAGCTGTTGGCACAGAGCTGCTGTGGCAGCTTTGCTGTGGTGTAAGTTGATCTGAAGAAATTTCATGATCTCTTCCAATTGAGGAGCGGTCAATTTCCATCTTATGTCCCTCTCCGTTATCGGACTGGGTTCTGTGTGAAGGGGTCCCCTGATCCATTTTGCTTTGGTCATC